ACACCCACCCCACCACCCCACCACCCCACACCCCACCGCCACCCCCTGCCCATCCAATGGACACTGCACCCAAACCCAATATAGAGGTGCATTTCACAAGTTCAAGTCTCAGAAAATGAAATTGAATGAATTCGATGTATTATCCAATTTTTTAAAACTTACATGTGTATAGAACAAAAATCCACAAATGTCCCAATTTTACGCCCACGCGTTTCTGTTTTGTAAGCAAATAAATTGATAACCGTTTGAAGTAAAAAAAGCGTAAGAAAGAACATACGTTACCACGGAATCGCCTGATATAAACACGATCATTAGTTGAGTGCTGTGGAAATTTGTGCAAGCTAAACACTATCAGAACCCTATGAGTCATTAATAATGGAAAAGTGACAGGAAAATACATTTAAATTGACCAGATCTAAGAAAATTACTTTCAAACTAAAGATCATTTTTCTCTACAATGTCCACGTTGATGACTCTTTCAATAGCAGTAATTGTCAATTGTATAGAGAATTGAAAACTTTGTTACCTAAAAGTTATCTACCACTGGTCATATTCGTCGTGAATTTAAAACTCATTGACAGTTTCAAATTTTGGGTGTATTAGTTACAATACCAACTACGCCTCGCATCCTTCGCATACCGTAATGTAACGTATGTTCCACAGCCATAGAAAAGATACGGGACACGAGTTTAATAAATATTGATAAGATATTTTTTCGCTTTTTTTTCGTAGAATTTATTTAGGTGTTTAAAAGTAACTCAGACATCAAAAGTGATAACCTATTACACAAACACGATCCGCGTAACAAACGTCTTAATCATTTGCATGTAAAGAAATACAGATCTAACCTACAACCTCTTTAAACGAAGCCTTTTTCAACACGCCTATAGGTTTTCCAATACAGCAGAGATTCGTTCAAAATGAGCTTTACTATGAAAGGTCTAAATTGTCTTGCGGATTTCGGCACTTTTGGGAATTAAAAAAATGTATATATGTAGGCCTAATGTTTGTTCCATCTATAAAAAGTAAGTGGCTCACAAAATTACGTTTTTAAGCCTTTCCATTGAGTGAGTATAAGAAACAGATATCACTTTAGAGTTCAAGGGTCTCTACGGTCCTTATCAGTCGCTATTTAAGACAAATCATAGGCTGCATGATTTCTTGTAAAAGTTTCCTTGAGCTTGAGATTTTTTAGATGTTCATACTGTGTTTTTACTCTACCAACGTGCTCGATGAATTTTTTATTTTGGTTACTGGCGCTCTTGGGCTCTACTATAGTCGTCTCGTTCAAAAAACCGTATACAGCTTGCCTTTTATTCCTGCTACTCCCATCCGTCGACCTTTCGACTAGTTCATCCCCTTTTCGCGAGTTCTGGACCAACGACTCCGGCAAGTGCCAGTAGCAGCGGAAAGAAATCTGAGACAACGGTACGTCTTCGCAATCTTCTCAGCCACTATATTATGCAAAATTTTCATCTTACTTCTTGGTGTAACTCGTTAAACTTGACCCACTGTAGCTAAAAAACATTTTCTATAATAAGTCATCATATTTTTTGGATGATTAGTCTTATTGAATATTATATGTATATATAATATTATTTTTATCCCTAAGGATAAAGGCAACAATTTGCTACATTGTTATTATTGCTAAAATAATTAGGGTAGTGGGGTTATAAAATAAAAGCGGCCTTGTTTGACCAACTCTTTAACAATCGATATTCTTTGTTGCCTTCTTTTTGTTATAAATAAGACTATGAAAGTTTGTGGTACACTGGGATGGAGGAGACATAAAAGTAATTGCTTCTGCACAGTGTTAGCTTGGGTGCATAGCCTGCTGTATGATGCGTTCTGTCTTAATTTTGGGGCATGTGGGAAATTCAGGTGGTTCCATATTTCGTCTTCTACAATGGCTAAATCGGATAGCATTCTCCCTCTTGCTTATGGCAGTAACCTGTGACTGTAGTTCTTTAATTGTTCATTGTGACTGCCTTCAGTTTCTTCTCAATCGTTTCCACGTTGTGACCACCTTGCACACACAACAAGTGGTGATTGCTGTGGACTTGTCTCGGTAACTTCTATAGCAGCTAGGAGCACTTCTTTCCTTTGGTGAAGTCTACGTTTTCGCGATTTAGTCTTCGCTTGCCTCTTTTGTCTTTCACGACATTTATAAGGAGGCGGAAGGTAGGCCTACATAGTATTTTGAACCCGTTTTCTTTCGCTTCCAAATAAGCGTCACCCTCATTTCTTTTTTACGAGATCGATATTTTTTTTTAATCTCAGCTGTTTTCGCATTTTTCTGAAATAATGATGTTCCGTTTGGTATCAATGTATTTGGCACTGCGCTCACTGCGCTCGTTGGCGATTATTTTTTCCTTGCATAGTTTTGTTTGACATTTATTTCCGTCTTTGACATTCATTTCTGTATTTGAATTTAATTTTTTATTACAACAAAATCATTCACTTCGCCTACATCGTTACTGAGGATTTTATGGATTTATTTACACTTGTAACTAACCTCATCTAATCTTTAGCTCGAGCAGACGTCAGAAAGAACCACCTGACATCTCAAACAGAAGCTAATTTTTCTTTCGGAGCCAGTTTCGGGCACAAGTAGATTTTCACTGGTAACGTATGTTCCGGTAACGTATGTTCCAGGCCACCTAATTTTTATTTTCATAACGTGTTCTTATATATTTTAAAGTGATTCGATCATGTTAAATTAAATATGACGTAAGGACGTTTTTTTATAAATATTTAAACCGTAACTAATGGGGCCTGCGTCATAGCTAATACTAGGTAACGTATGTTCCCTAGGAAAATTGACAAAATGTTTCATTTTGTACAAGTACTTGGTGCAAGAGAAAACAATGTTTTCTTTTGCTGACAGAAAAATATATCGTGATTCCATGATAGTTTGACATTTCAGATACAATATTTGGAGCACGAGGGGAGAAATAATTTATTAAATGCTTATTTTACTGTCGGTAGGGTGTATTTTCCCCGTTTTTTTAATATTCAGTGACAGGCAAACTTAAGTCGCTAAAAAACAATTAACTGCTCTATACAGAAGCTTTTCGCAATTTTTTACAACGTTATACTTGTAGGAGATAAATTAAAGAACAAAACCCGTGATGATTGAATTTTCAAAGTTATTAAAACGCTTCAACAGCTAGACGTTATGCATTTGTGACAGTAACGTATGTTCCTTTTTGGGGTTAGATGATGAATTATTTTTTATTATTCGTGGTTCCAGGAAAGTGAAACTTTAATACAAACTTCTTTATGTGGGACCCTAAAATAATCAAACATAGTTTGTAATCTGTGCACTACATATTTTTAGGAACATGTCTGTGACATCGTTTGCACCTCTATATTGGGTTTGGGTGACTGTCGAGATGTTCACCATTATTAGTAAGCGGCACCAGGTACCTGACACAGACGCCAAGGGAACACGTTGAACACGTGAGAAAGTAAACACATGCCTTAATTGTTTTAATTGAATAAACAAACAATACTGCTCATATTCCCATCACACAAATCGCAAAGACTGTTTTATTATTAGAAATGATTTTTCTCTCATTTGTCTACGATGAGATTCGTACGGCTGACCTTCTTTCTCTAAATGGCTCTGTTACTGTAATGTAGAAGCGTGAGTCTTACTGGGCGCGACCAGAAAGTGTTCTCCCCAGCCTGGTGTTCAGAGTTTGTCTGATATTTGTGTTTTAACCGAGTAGACAGCTTTAATGGAAACTGTGTGTAAGCCACCGACAACTTTGGATTGTGGCGTTTTCAAAGAAGCTACTTTGCATCACCGTGTTCATTTATGTAACGACAAAGGTCTCAATATGCACTAACAGTATCACATCTCAGGCCTTATTGATTTCTTCAAAGACGCTCTCAAAGCGCCAACCTATCAGCGCCTGCGGTGTGTTCTATGTCTAATGGATTAATCCAGCAGATAAGGATATTAGGAAAGTGGTGGCAGTCTTCAAGAAGGCAAGGCAGTCTGATTGATGACACTCTGGTGATGTTTCATCTAGATTCAAGTGGCAAGAAATAAGAAGACAAATTGGAGCTGCTGGGGAGATGTACGCAGATCATATGGCGGAGATCTGGCAGTCGGTTTATTATCTCCAACAAGGGAGGTTGTGTTTTTGCCGGCGTTGATTTCTTCTTCTTCTTCATCTAATCTTATATTATTATTATAATCCTTCCTTATATCATTGCTATCAGCTCGGGAAAATGTGCAGTCTGATATGAGAACAAAGTCCCAGGGATAAGCGGCGCCCAACTTAATGTCAATTAACTTAATAAGCAATTTTCCGAAGACTGAGAACGAGTAGTGACGTGAGGAATGAAGCCACGCTACTTGACCCGTCTTATTTGCGTTGAAAGTTGAGCCTGAGCCAATTATACGGACGGAAAGAGACAAGAGAGAAATATAATTTAATCAGCACGCTTATTAGACATGTTCAGCTTGATTAAGGATACAGTCGACATCTGATCTAGATACATATCGATATATAATAACTGGATCTACATTGATCACACTCCACACACACATCAAAGATTTACCAGACTTTTTTTTACATTTTTGCAATTAATTAATTAACTAATTTGTTTATTTATTTATTAGGTACAAGTACATTTTCTCAGTTACTATGTCCTTCTGATATTGGTAGAAGTACGATAATCCAATTTTTTTAAAAAATCAGTGACATTCTAGATTGCTCAGTGACGTATGGTTTATGATAATCTTTGCTCAATCTCCTTCACCCCCTTCATGTCAAGATACGTCAGCTGATCAGAAGTTTCTGATAAAATGGCCGACACTCCCCTCCCCCATCGCAATAGACTTTGGACTACTATCTAACCAGCAGGTGCTTGTGTTCCAGATCCAGGTGGTCTCTCCCAGACGCCAGCATGCCTGACTGACCGCCGTCCAGGTGTCTGTGCAGCCGTCCTCAGCCGCGCGTGACCTGATCACGTGACCTGGTCAGCCAACAGGTGCTTCACGCCCGGTGATGCACACTTAGTGTAATAATTACTTCAACCGAAGAGCGATATCGATTCAAAGATATTTCATTAAATGCCACAGTGTCAGATCCTCCATGAGTTTTCTGATCTGCGGTGAGCGTATCAGCTGTATTGTGTGCGTTGGGTCTAGAGGACAGCAATAGCGGAAGAGAGCAGCTCTACATACAAGTGCAGTATGGTACTTTTTAAAGAGAAATGTTTGTATCTTATGATTGCTGGTATGGTGAACTATATCCTTGGATTAGGAGTTGTTTTATGGAAGATCAGCCACGCACCTGTGAGAGAATATTCAAAAGGATGCTTGGACTGTGCACGCACTCCAGGGCAGACGCACAGGGCCGCCCATGGTGAAAATAGGTCTTCAGGACTACCTGCTAGCGACCCAAACTTCTCCCATTGCGGACCGTTCAAAGACCCACAAGATACAGTGTTCGGTTACTGGAACTGGAAGAAAGTTTCTATGTGTGATGGACATCTAATAGCTTACAGAGATAAGTTTGCGCTTCTCCGCAATGTCATTGTTGACAGAAAAAGATCAAAAGAGTGGTCCGTTGCAGGTATTGCTCCAGATAGAGTACCACATCAAAAGGAAGAGAATGAGTTTATCAGTATAAAGAAAGGATTTTTCCAGATACTTTGCTCTGGAACATTAACAGCAGTATTCAATGAAACTCAGATGAAGCGTATGTGGCTCCAAAAGACAATGACGACAGACACCTCTCTTGACAAATACGCCATCATCCCTCGTGAGTCTAAAATGACCATAATTGTCACCAGGTTTGGTTACGCCAATGCATATTGGGCCATCGTCGATATGTACAATGCCTTTCTCCTGCAAAATTTCTTCGGCAAATCGTGTACTGAAGTGAAAGTTTTATTGCTTGACTCTCATCCCTGGGGTGCATTTGATGGGATGTGGAACACAGTATTTGGGAAAATGTTGCGGCTTACTGACCTCCACAATGTGACCTTGTTTAAGACAGTGGTTTGGGGAATGCAGTCCAATCAAAGTCCCATGCTGCGCCGACATATGCCTCATCTCCCGTTTGTGAGACCGTTCAGAGAAACCATGCTTCATCGCCACGGTGTGAGGCCACAGCACAGCCAGGCCTGCAAGACCAGCAAACTGAATGTCCTCTTCATATGGCGGCATGACTACGTGGCGCATCCCCGAAATCCCTCGGGGCGCGTAACAAGAAAGATTGCCAATGAAGGAGAACTTTTAAACCATTTACAAAAAACATTTCCAAGCTTCAACATCAGTGGAATTCAATTAGATAAACTTACTATTGCCAACCAGCTACAGTTAGTCTCAGCGACAGACATCCTGATTGCCATGCATGGTGCTGCATTGGCATTCACGGTCTTCATGACGCCGGGGTCAGGGGTCATTGAGTTGTACCCCAAAGGTCACGGGGTCAGTTGGCATTTTGAAAACCTGGCCAGGTGGAACGGTGTCCACTACACGCGCTGGCAGAACGTGGACTTCGATGCTGAGAACCAAGAGGCCACTTTTATCCCCCCGGCAGTGGCGTCACGCCTGGTGCGAGACATGAGTCAGCAGGTGTGTCCTGAATAGTGGACCTGTACATAGAAATAGAGCACGCTTGACAAAAAGTAGGATCAGCCCTACTTTCAATTAAGAATATTAAAACTTTTCTATGAAATGTATCTTATTATATCAGTGTTCTCATCCTGTCCACTTCTCCATGTTAAATGGTCTCAGTTCTTGTCAGTTGTCAAATTAGGTAGATCCAGCAGGGAAGCGTTAGGTTTAGTGTTTTAATATTTACACTGTATTCCATGAAGAAGCAAGTCAATTCCAAATATAGGCTGTAGGTTTTTATAATATATTTATTATTGTTAAAAATACACTTAAAAACTTAAGAATTTGACCAATAATAACCAAATAGTTCCATTCATTGAAATTCAGTGCTTTAGGATTCTGATGGATTTACCAGTTGTTCCGACATGTGGCGCAGTTCTCAAGACATGACATATTTAGCCATTTCTGTCATTTACTGTATTAATGTTCAACTTGTTTAAACTGTGCTCACCGTTTTCATTAAAAAGGGCAATTTTCTTGTTAAGTGTGGAACATAGACACGGCGTATTTTCCCTAAAAATACGCTTTAAATATAATATCAAAATATTGTTCACTATACAATATATATATATATATATATATATATATATATATATATATATATATATATATATATAATTACGTATATATAATTTTTTTCCTACATAAGACTTCATTAAGGTACAGGCGATCCCGATCCCAACTTTGTAGTGTATATTGTGCTGACATATTGTGCTGTGCACGACCTCCTTTGCTCAAGTAATTTCTAATACAATCAATATAATATATTTTTGAAATGTGTTAACATAGGCACCGTTTACCTTTAATATCAAGGTGTATGCCCAGCGTTCTGATGATTGCGCACTCATAGTAACATTTAATGTTCTAGGAACGGCATATCAACCGTTATAAACATATATGTATTAACCATATGTTGTAAGGGGCCCTTCCTATCATTATCTGACATGTACAGCAGGTATATGCTACTTATTTTACCCAGGTTACACATGACATATATACACGTGTTTATTCCATGGTCAACCCACCTCCATGTTATGACAGAATCTCTTTGAAGTCACGTGTAACTGTATAATTGTTTTAACTTATCAAAGGATAATTATGGTATGTTGTATTAGTAACATTGGACAACAATGTCATATTCTGACCAGGAATTCATGACAGACCAAAGGACGTTGTTTGCTGATATTTTTATACGTGTTGATATAAGTATTGGTTGAATGTTTTATATGATATATGTGTATAAAATACACATGAGTTGGACAACTCACAGAGCTCTGTGCGCTACAACTTTGCGTGGTGCTTTATTTATTATTATTTTTTTTTAATAAACCAGTCTGAACAATCTTGTCAAATCTTAGTTAGACTAGTGGACTGTTCATTGCGTTGTTACAGGTACACGTGTATACCAGATGGAAAAAATGATTCGAACTTACGGTTTTGATAGCTCAAATCTATCCATAATAATTTACATTATATTTCACGGTGTGGCCAAATAAAAGCTCGGACTTCATAGCTGCAATGCTATCTACGTGGTGTCCAAAACAACAATGATGACCCCAATAATGACCAGGAATGCTGTCCTTAGCCGTCTAGTAGCCCCTTATGATGACCCCAATAATGACCAAGAATGCTGTCCTTAGCCGTC